GATTGAAACTTTCAACTTTCAACTTTCATTTAAATTTTTTTCATTTTTAATTCATCTTCTTTATATAATGATTCAAAATTAAGTTGGTAAAGATTTTAAATTGATATGCAATAGTTTTATGATAAAACTTTTTAAAATATAAATATAAAATATATTATGTATGTGACGTTATGACAATATTTTAACTTTTCTGTGTATAATCAAACAATAATTCCACAAACTTGCAGAGTTCCCTATTCGGATTTTAAAATTCTTCCAACATTTTCTGTTTTTGATTATCGGATTAATCCTATAACTTCTTCATGTTGATTCTAATATCTTAAACACATTATATCCATTATCACTAAACGAGTTGAAACGAACTGATTGTCGCAACACCGTTGTTAATAATAAACTAAAAAACTATTCATTTGTAGCTCATTTAGCTCATTTAGCTCATTTTGGTGCTTAACTGATTTTTGGATTTTCAAGCACTCGGCCTCTTAACCGCCCAATATTTATCCACACCCTTGTAGCACGATCAAAGTAAATCAATTGAGGCTAACATATTATTGATACCAGTGTCATTTCTGAGGATGAACAGATTGAATAATAAATAACTTAACGAGCTGAAAACCATTACGAAAAAGAAATATGGGCTGTATACAAAAGTATAGAACAAGAAAACCATTAACATTCATATTATATATATTATCTACATTATATACTATATAGTACGTATTAATTAAAGTGGATACAAGATTTTAAAAAGAACATATGTTTTTTATGTACCATAAGTGTTCAATTTTTTACAAACTTTTACAAACAAAATATATAAGGGGTATTCAGGATGTCTGTGCATCGTTGCGTCCTGTTTCTTATTATTATGCACTTCATTTGGAAGACAATTTGGAAGACATCAATTACCTCTTGCATATTTGATTTTCAAGACTCTATTGTGAATGTTACTACTTTTTTTACTGTTCGCTGGATTTTATAATTTCGTGATTTTGTGCAATTGCTTGTTTGATTTTGTATTTATTTTACGTCCAACACTATCGGACAATTTCAAAATATTCTGCTTTTCACTTTTTCTTGGTATAATAAAAAAATAGGAAAACAAAAATCAGCTGCTCTAAATATTTTCAGGACTAATATACACAAAATGTATTCACGATTATTTGAGTTTGCAATGGGGCACATTTATCGGTGCGCAGACAGTCTGAATACTCCTATAATTTCGTCTTCATATAATAATTGTTTTTATCTTCATTTTAAATAAATAGTTATTTGTTTCGCAAACTTTCTGTAGAAAAAACAATTTATTCAATGCGCAAATCAATATTACTCGAAGCTCGTTCATGTATTTCTATAATTTAAAGAATTTAAATTACTAAAAAAAGTAGTCGGTGAAAATTTGATCTATTTTCCCCGTAGCTATGCATGTAAACGAGAGAGCTAAGATTTTATTTATGACAACAGTAGTTTGGTTTTTTCGAACTGTCAAATTAATCTGCAAATTTATTCTGCTCAAAAGTTTATAAAATTTTGTAGACGGAAAAATTTACGTTCTCGGTTCCGGTTCTCGTGATTGTTTCGTTTGAAAATAAAATAAATTAATTGATAAGTAATTATAAAATAAACATCCATATTAAAAATCTAAATATACATGTTCTTTGTATTTTTAGCATTAAAATGGGATGCGTGTATGAAGCTTTTGGGATTACCTGTATTATAGTGCTGATACTAGCCTCTTATCGAGCACCATATACGCTGAAAATGGGAACATTCCTTATTGGATCTGCCGTAATAGTACTAATTTGCATACCTTTTATGCTCTTGAGACCGCGAAATTATCGAAATGCATTGTAAGTTAGAGATTATCTGTTTTACTTTACATGGATAACATTCATATGTTGTATTATCGTACATATTACTTTCTACTATTACTTTATATTTACATATTACATACCATATCTGATGAAGATAATGAACTTTTCATCATAATCAATCGTAAAATAAAATGATTAAAGTAAATATATGGCACCACCATATAATAAAACTTACCAGTTGGCAATACATATATCAAAGGAATTTAGTTAAAACATAGATTCTACTAACAGTGATTTGCTTCAATAGGCTCC